GTTATTGATTGAGGGAGGTTATGTTTCAAATTTAATTTTCAACTCCTTCCTCCAAAATTCATTTACATGCAAATTGAGTTGAGTCAACCCACATGGACAACCCATTTTTCGAACACCTCTCACTGGCATATGATGAGCTTGACCTAATTCTAATTCTAATACAATATCAATTATATTAATTTCAACATCTCCAAGTTTATACAGGTAATAGATCGTGCGACCAACGAGTTAATTTAAGAGCACATGACACTATACACCTGTCAGGGATATATAATAGCTCTAAAAGAAGAAATATATTTCTTGCTATACCCCATACATATTATGTAATACCAATTCGAGTATTTTTATCCATCAATTAATCAAAGAATATATTCAAATTTCTCATCTTTATTATATTCACAATTGATTCACAAACTTAGAATGTTAACACAATTGCCTAGCCGGTGATTACATGTTGAGGTGTTAGATAAAACGGTCTTCCTTTCCAACTTGAATCCCTTAATTTCAAATCAATTTCTTTTCGAGACGTGTCTCATCAAACTAAATCAACCATAGTTATTAGCAACATGCTAAAATAGCAAACACTAAAATAAAATTTTGAGAAAAAATCAAAAGTTATAAGGGTATTTAAGTGATATCATATGTGCCTCGAAGACTTACACAATGAAGAAACAGGAATCAATTCTTTCATTTCACATTGGTCATTAAAGCACAAGTAGTATGAAACACGCGTTACGTTATTTCTTCCTTTCTAAGGACATATGTCTAATTTTACTAGTTAAATATATTGTATAGATCATAGGTCAGATACTCTTCAATGTCTAACCTGAGTTCTTTTATTTATTCCTATAGACAATCCTAATTAGAAATGTCATACGGGTCAAGTGGTTCGTTGGCTTGTTAAAGTTCAGCTCATGGGCTGCTCAGACTCGTCAAATGACGAGCTCGAGCACATGTTGGATCCAATGAGCCGAGTAAAGCTCGGCTCGTCGGCTCGTGGGCCGTGCCATGAGGCTCGTAAAAAATGTGAAGAAAAAGTTTGAAAATTTTCAAGAAAAAAGAAAATCGAGCTCGTGGTTGTGAGTCGAGCCAAGCTCGTGGGTTTAACATGACAGCGGTATGAAAATACGATATGATGACAATGCTGCAGTTGTGATTGATCAAGAAGGATCGATTTTTAAGTCTATCTATAAGAGGAGATCCTATGGAAAATGTAACCGATTCTTTCGTTTCTTTAGGCCACTGGCCATCTGCCTGGAGTTTCGGATTTAATACTGATATTTTAGCAACGAATCCAATAAATAACTCATATCACAGGAGAAAAATTTGCCCAGAGTTCTACTACTATTAATGGGTGGCCACGTAGAAATAAACGTATTAGTTCACGTAAGAGTGCTCCTTGTGGTCAAGGTAACCACTTCAGACATGGCCAGCTCCCATAGTGTGATGGGGCAATCTCCTTTGTAGGAACTACATGTAATAACGAACTTGCAAAATGAATCTGTTTATCACAAAGAGATTCAATTTGAATTAGGAATTTCATGTACAACTAAAAGTGGTCCTTAACTACATATGTATCTGATCATATATGCATGTAAATGAGGTTCTCTACCAATTGAGCTATAGCCCTTAGTGCTTGTGATACATATTTTATCATGTAGATAATTTCTTGGGTAAAAGATGCCTCTTCTTTGCATTTATTACGATTCTTTCCTCACGAGCATTGGTCCGTCAGAAAACAAAAGGAAGGGTTAATATCGATTTTTTTTTTTTGCTTTCATTCATTGTTAAGATGAGCTATCCTGATCTCTATCTCACACTAAGAAAAAAAGGAACCTTTCCTCTCACCCTCCCCAGCTATTTCATTGTTAAGATGAGATATCCTTATCTCTATCTCATACTAAGAAAAAAGGAACCTTTCCTCTCACCCTCCCCAGCTATTTCATTGTTAAGATGAGATATCCTTATCTCTATCTCATACTAAGAAAAAAGGAACCTTTCCTCTCACCCTCCCCAGCTATTTCATTGTTAAGATGAGATATCCTTATCTCTATCTCATACTAAGAAAAAAGGAACCTTTCCTCTCACCCTCCCCAGCTATTTCATTTCAGGTTAAGAAGATGTGGTTTAAATCATTTTATCAGGATGAGTGTTCTATATCAATAAAATATTCATTTGAAAACCACCCATTTAAATGTAGCAAATAATAGCGGGGAACGAAAAAGATGAATCTGCTCTTAGGAATCATTAAATCCTATAAATGATTGTTCTGATGTATCATAGAAATTCGCTTGGCTTGGTCCGTTGCCGCCTCTAATCCTAATTGAGAGCACTATCTGGCTATAGAACAAGTCTAATTGATATCAAAATTCATGGTGATTCATAGGCGCATAATGATTTTTTAGAAAACCCAATGCACTGGTGTCAGGTGCCGGGGTGTGTGAGTACGATTAGGCTCAGACCATGCACTTTTATGGGTTGCTCAACACCTGTGCATGAGTCTTACATATATTGATTACTCTTATTTCCATTTTTGTATGCTATGACAACGTTAGAAACAATTTACTTACAAAATTATATTCCAGAGAAACAAAAACAAAACAAAATAAAGTGTACAATATAAGATAGGAATTATACTAGATTTATTAAGTTTAAGAATGTGTGAGACACGCCTCATATAAATCTTTTGTTCATGACCGCCAGGATTCTCCAATTCTGCACCGCTACAATTGTAAAAATGCCCGCCTCTACCTCGACAAGGTTCTGGATTTGATCATAAGAGTTGACTATGAGCCTGATTTCCGTCCAAACTCCCTCCTAGGCCAAGCTCCAGGACATGATTGACTTAATGAAACAAATCACTCGCAATTGAACAAGAAACTTGACTTTTTTAGTCTCGAAGTAGTGCCTTTATTTTCTCAATAAATTAAAAAATGCACAAAAAAATAAATAAATTCAGTCATACAATAATGAAAATGAAAAATATAGCCGTTACGGGACCCACACAAAAGATGGAAAGTCAAATTGATGACTTAATGTAATGGATAACGGTTATATTTTTCATTTGTTGGCTGAAGTATGGGAATCAAACGAGGGCTAAGAAATTCTTCAAAAATCTTATTTGGTGAAGTCGGAATCCATTTACTATTTTATCAACAAAATTTCAAAAATCTATAGGAGTTTGCTCTTCTAAAGACCCATTAGGCTGAGATGTAGCTTTAAGGTGCTACCACCTATAACCTCCGACTATGGCTTATGGTTAGTAGTCGCGATGGAGCAATAGCGAAGAGAATTTTAAGAAGTGCACCATCTATTCAATGAAGTACTTTAATTGGATTTTCTTATTTTGAAGCTTGATTCATGATGCCACCTCCGATTTGGGTTGCTTAATGTTGAGGCAACTACTTTACGCAATAGGTTAACTAATGGTCAAATGGACGGAATCCTCCAGCTGCAATTGAAATGAAAGATTTGGATCTCAGTGCAAAAAATGAAAGATTTGACTATAGTATGCAACAATTTGAAAAGTTTGAGAACCCAGCTGCAATTCTCCCTTCTTTCTAGTACAGCCGACAAACATTTGTTTACATGGAAACGACTATGGCATTGCAGTTGCAAATTCTTCAATTCCTACGTTGCGTACCCTCCCCATCTCTACCATTACCCACCAATCGCCGCAGCCGTCTCCGCCACGATGGCCTAAACCAACCCAATATTGTCATGCCCATAAGAGATCTGACCCTCCGACGATTCACCACAGCTCCATATCAATTCAGATTCAATATCCAAAAGCCCTTTTGTGATACCCACAATTTCACCGTAATTAACAGCAATACGATGGCCGATAAGAAGGATAATCAAGAGGTAACTATTGAAAGCAAAGGCAAGGTGGAGAAGGGATTAGAAAACTCAAAGTCAAAGTCAAATATTCCGCCGCCGCCGGAGAAGCCTTTGCCGGGGGACTGTTGCGGCAGCGGATGCGTAAGGTGTGTGTGGGACGTCTATTACGAGGAGCTCGATGAATATAACAAGCTTTACAACACCAATTCTAAGCCTTGATGAATCCAATCTATTGATTGGTATGTGCAAATTATTTGTGATTTGAAATTCTTTGTGATTTGATGTATTGGTATAATGGATTAGCTTATTTATCAACTGAAATGAAAATTGGTCTTGAATCTGAGGTAATAGAAATGAGATTTTTGGGGGATGATTATATGTAATTATGGTGGTTCTATTCAAGTGGCAAAAGTAGATTATGACTTATGAACCTGTTTGATGTAGTTTTCTTGCGAATAAATTTTGTGAAAAGTGATATTTATATGGAGAAGATATGATTAAAGTATGGAAAAATGGGAAATGCTAGTGGTACATAATTTTTATTCACACTCGGTGGAGCTTGCTCAAATAAAATATTTGAGTGGACCCACATCAAGCCCTTGTGTATCCTGGAAAAATTTTGGATAATGTGTGGTTGAAATAAGTTCGGCAGAAAATGAGGTTAGGTACTAAATGCCAGAAAAGTATAGTTTCATAAATCCAAATACATCATTAGTTTCGGTTCACTGTGTTCCCCCGTCCAATTCTTCAGCTATTTCTTTGCACATTTGATGTTCCTATGATTTCTAAGAAGGGTACTTCGGCTTTATGTTCATCTCTAGTGTGTTTACGTTCATCGAGTATCTTATTAGTGTTTTGTCTTGAAACTTATGCATATAGATTTGCTCCAAACCAGGCCATTTTGAACTGTTGAACAGTCAAGTGTATATCATATCTTGATTGAAAACAAATTTGCAGCCTCTGTTTCTCTTAAGTAGAGTCATTGGTTAGAGTAAAAGCCCAAAAACCAAATAATTGAGTTCATAGTATGAGCAAAAAATTCAACATATGGTCCATGAGAAGGGCCTTAAGACAAAAATGACCTTTTTGTACTTACTCTCGTCTTCAATGGGGTGGTGATATTTTCATCTCTTTTTCCTGTGTTCACGTTGGAACTAGAGCTGTGGCTTTAATGGCTAGATGTCCTTTGCACAACCCCCTCACGAGAAAGAGCTAAAGCTTGGTAAAAAAGAACCAAAGCTTTGAAATGTGGCTGGCTATGTGCATTATAATTCCAAACCATATTCTGAAAACAGAGTAGGGTGGTGACTATTCTTGCTTGTTGAACAGTGTAATCTGATGATGATGCTTTATTTTTGTTAGTGCAATCGAAAATTATATCCTGGAAGATAGTTCAAACCATTATATGAAAAATATAGCTTCATCTTTTTAATTGAAGATCCTACCACAAAAGGTAAGTTGTCTGGCCAGTTTCATTAGAATACCCAAGTTATAACAAAACTAAAATAGCCTGTGGTATGTACTTGCTGTAAATCATTTAGTTCGTTGATCTAGAAATTAGGGGGCAAAATGGGTTCACAAAATTGATGTCAAATTCATGGAAAAAATGCTTGATGTTTCTTACGCAATAGATATTTGAATTTTTTATTCTTCATGCAAGGCAGGTAGAGGTAAAGAAAAATTCAAGAACCCTGTGGCTGACATTGAAGTTAGAAAAACAAGATATAAAATATTGTCCATTCAAAAAGTGTGCAAAATACTAAGGGCCCGTTTGACATAGCTTTTTATTTTACTTTTGCTTCTTGCAGAAGAGCTTTTAGAGAAAGTTATTTTAATTTTTGTTTGAAAACTAATATTTAAAAATATTTTCTATTTCAGAAATGTTTTTAGAGAAAATCATATTGAACCAGCTTTTCTAAAAGCTCTTCTAACCATCAAAAAACACTTTAACAAAATTAGCCAAATGGGTCCAAAAGTAGCTTTTGAACCTCAAAAGTTACTTTTGACTTTTCAAAAGTCATGCCAAATGGACTGTAAGGATATATACTGTTATGTTCATCTTCTAATTTTGAAAATTCTCTTTTACAATTTGTAGAAGAAAATTACATTTTAATTTACAAGGGGATTGGGGTTAACATGAATAACAAGGAAAACGTTACTTGTTATTTTCATATTCAAAAAGTGAGTTGAGTTTTTACCGCTTTAAGCCTTTTTCTCATCAAGATTAGGATTTTGAACCGAAATATTCTTTCTAACTTAAATTTAGAATCTGCATTATTCTGCTTGAAAATTGTAGTATTCTTGACAAATCATTGTTCTTCCTTTGAAAGCCCTAAACATTGAAGAATGATATTATTTTCATCTCATCTCTACATTGTTTTTTAAGATCAGGTTACAAGTTTTACGATTCTTCATATTGCCATGTCGAAACCTAATGAACCATAGAACCGGTCCCATATCTAATCTTATCGAAACTCGCAAGGAAAACATAGCCTAAATTTCTTCAAAATTCCAGCAAAAGCAGTTTGATCTTTTTAAGCACTCTGGGAAGGAAATGCAACCTCCAGGTCATCTAAACATTTTCTCGGTAAATGTAAATATCATTGACAAAAAATGTTTCAGGTACAATTACACCGGGCATTCCTGGGTGAATCAAAAGTCAATAACACATACAATGACTCCGAGTATACCCGGGTAATACAAAATAAGTGAAGTACATAAAAATCAATGACCCAATGCTAAAAACTCGAAATGGATCAAGACATCCGGATACGAAGTGAACATAATTTTGTATACGTATGTGTTGATCCGTCTCACAATGCAATCCAAGTTGATCGAGAGATCTTCAAAAATCTTCCTATTCCATGTTAACCAAATGTAATAAATGGTGCTTGCAAGAGCAATTCTCTTCGCCTTACTTAGCCATGAGGTTCCACGGGCTTCCTATTTCAACCACTTTAGAGTACTAGCAAGTGTCGACATAGATCTCCTGATGCCGAGCCATCGTCTTACATTCCCCCATAAGGTAGACGTGAAGGAACATTTAAAGAATAGATGGTCGCAAGTTTCCGCCAAATGCCCACAAAACACACAATTACGATCAATATCCAAAAATTGCAATTTTTCTTTAGTTAGGAGTTTAGATTGAACCCCTAACCAAAGCAAAAAGGAATGCTTCGGAGTAATGCAAGGTTTCCAAACTTCGGCTCCCCAAGTCTTGAAAGTACCCTTAGGCCTAAAGAAATTACAGGCAATTCTTGTGCTGAATTTATCATGTGTCAAACTGCCCAGAAATTGATCCAAAAACCCCAAAAATTGCCTGTCATTGTGAACTGGCAGCCCATGTACTGACCTGTTCAGATTCTGCCGACTTTGGCCCAAGTTCGGTGCATGCCTAGCAAGGTAATTTGGGCCTAAACCAGTAGACCGAGGTAGTATTATTCTAGTGTCAATCAGCCCCGACGTCTGTAACTGTCCATTAGTAAGAATCTATTGGGCAGCTCCTTTTTCACACAAAATGTCTTTGATTTCCAACAATTTCTTAAAGAAAGGAGAGTGATATTTTCTAGGACAAACCTCCCAAATGCAAGTCCCATTAAGACATACTTGATGAATCCATCGAATCCAGAGTGTCTTTTTTATGTTGTATATTCCAAAGGGCCTTCGCAAGTAACGCTAAATTCCAACTCTTCAAATCCTTTAATCCAAGGCCCCCTTCGTCTTTTGGAAGGCAAAGATCCTTCCACGCAACCAAAGACTTTTTTGATCCCCAAAGGAATTTTCAACAAAGGCTAACAACCCTTGAAATAATTGTAGTCTGGATAGGGAAGATAGAAAGCCAAAATCATTCAACACATTGAAGCACCGTCCTAATGAGTTCCACTTTATCGACATAAGATAATGAAGTGCAATTCCAAGCTCCAATATAAGCCACAATTTTTTCATGGAGTGGAGCATAAGAACTTACTTTGAGCTTTTGCGAAGCAAGAGGAATACCCAAGTAACGAAAAGGCATAGTACCATTGAAAAAATTTGAGAGTTCCATGATTCTTTCAAGCTCAAACCCATAAATCCCAGCTGTGTATAAGCTGGATTTCAAAGTGTTGATCCCTGATACAAGACCAAAGTTATGAAGGCAATTCATGAGAATTTGCACTGACATAGCATCTCCCCTTGCAAAGAGCATCAAGTCATCCGCAAAAGTCAAATGAGCTATCTTTAAGGGATCACATTTCGGGTGATAATTAAAATCACTATCACTGGTAGCATCCTTGATCATTCTAGAAAAGTATTCAAGACAAAGTACGGACAAAAAGGAGGAAAGCGGATCACCCTGCCAAAGACCTTTCCCACATTTGAAGAATCCATGTATACTCTCATTCAAATTCATGGAATATGTTGGAGAGGTAACACATTCCATAACCCATTGAATAAATCTCAAAGGAAAATTCAACCCTTCAAGTACACTTTTGAGAAAATCCTAACTTACCGAATCATAAGCTTTCCTTATATCAATTTTAAAGAGACATCTTGGAGCCACCCTCTTTCTATTGTATTGTCTCAAGAGTTCTTGAGCAAAATGAATATTTTCCATCATACTCCTACCTTCAATGAAAGCTGCTTATACTTGGTCCATAATGCCCCCCAAGATTGGCCTCAATCTAGATGTAAGGATTTTTGTGATCACTTTATAGATCACACATTACAACAAGATATCGATCTATAATCCCCAACACTAGGTGCATGAGTAGACTTTGGCACCAAAGCAATAACCACATGGTTGATTTGCTTAAGGATGGATCCTGATGAAAAGAATTCCATAATAGCCTCTACAAAATCATGTTCAATACACCCCCATGCGCTTTTGAAAAAATATGAAGTGTACCCATCCGGTCCGGGAGATTTATCCTCTCCAATCCCAAAAAGAGCCTCTTTGATTTCCTCAATAGAAATGTCCCAAACCAATGCCTTGCCTTGTTCCAAAGATACCAAAGGTCCATTGCAAATAATGTCCTTGTCAATTAGCCGAACGGCCTCATTTTTCCCAGCAAGTTAGTATAGAAATTTACAAATTCCAATGCAACTTGGACTTGTGAAGTGGTAAACATTCCGTCCTTCTTAAGAATAGTAGCTAAAAAGTTTCTTCTAGAGTTCATTTTAACTACCGAGTGAAAAAACTTTGTACATTTATCACTTTACTTGAGGAAGATGCATTTTGCCTTTTGATAATAAAAATTACGCTCCGCTTCACATAAACCAACGGCTTTCTTTCTCAATTTAGTAACCATAAGTTGAAAATTCTCATTCATGGGCTGATTATGTAGTTGTAATTCGGCAGTCTCCATTTCAATTTTAGCCTCATTTGCCCTAGTCGAAATGTGCCCAAAATGCTTAATATTAAGCTTCTTCAAAGCTCCCTCTAGTTTGCTCAATTTTTTGCAAAGGATAAGTTGCTTTGTTCACCGCACACTAAAATCCCAA